TATCGAAAATTTCAGTTTCACCATATCGTTGCGTCGATTTTGCCGTTCTCATTAATAAATTCTTCGACAACTGTCTCCTCAGTGCTAACATGATCGCTTTTTGCTCTCTCTGGTCGTTCTATCGCCATATAGACACCGACTTAGAGGGGGCAGAGCACTTTTCGCCCCCGTTTCCCTCAATAATTTCTACTTTTTCGTTTTTTAACAAAAGATGTTTTAGCAACTGCAAATAATTTTACTCCTTTCCCCTTTCCGATAATTTAAGGACTATAAGGACTATTAAAAAAGGTCATTATTTTAAATGCTTTTACCTTGCTCCTCGAATATTTTTTCCAAGTTGGCAGTAATGCTATCAGTATGATACTCATTAGATTCATTGAGATCGGGCATCGACAACGATGAGATAGCGACAACGTTATCGTTCGGTAGTGCATTCTCCGTCGACGGATGTGATGTCGAAAGATGAGGCACAACACTCTCGTGATTTGTATCGCACTGTTTGTCAGATGTTTTAACGTCGAGATATTTTGGCAAATCTGTGCACAACTTTATCGTTTCATTCTTGATTTGCGTATATTGCTCACGTAAGAAAGACAATTTATTATCTTCTTTTTCGATTTGTTGATTCGTTCGTTGTAGTTCTGCTTGTATTTCATAAATCTTTTTTTTGCCCTCGTTCTCTTTTTGTTCCAGTTCTTTTTTTAATTTCACGACACTATCTAGCATTTTCTTGCATGTCTGGAAATTCACCGACTGTTTAGAAAACTGTTTATCCAGATCAATACGCGATTCCAATACCGTTTTTTGCTGCATCGACAAACTTATGAGCCTTTTATCGATGTATTTTCTCGCGTAATTATCCGTATTTATCGCATCGAAATCGAATTTCTTTAGTTTCTTGTTAATGTGTTCTTCTATTTCTTTTGTTAAAAATGGCTTGTCATTTGAAGATGACTGTTCGCTATTGCACGCGGAAGATGACAAATTGTTACTATTGTTATCATTATTAATGTTTGACGACACTGTCGCTAGTTCTTTGGGCGGATCAGTGGGCGACATCATGACAATACGTCTCGTCAAAAACTAATCGGTTTGCACCTAGAAGACGAAGGAGACGGAGGTTATTCAGACAGGCAAAGCAAAGACTCTATTTAATATCGATTCTTTTTGAAATATTAGCTTTGGTGAAGTCTAGAGACCTTCTATTAGAGGGTCTTTAATGAAGTTGAGAAGTCCCGCTAGACTGGAGATGATATCAATATCTTAATATTCTTAATCGCCCTTAAAAAAGCGCGCATGTGTAAATGTATGTGAATGTAAATACATATTATATATGCAACAAATTTAACGCTGCTCAATTTACCTAGCGGCTAGCTGGCGACCAACGATAAGTTATGATCCCTTCTTTCTTTCTCGGCTCTCACTAACAATCCCACTTCTTCTCCTTCTTGTAAGATCTTAATAAGTTCTTAATAAGTAAGTATCTTAAATAATAAATAAATTTTATTAACGTCGATCCTCAACACTGATTAGTGTCATTCGTGATCGTTCTTCGCTTTTAATAAACCAAGCACTAACGCACAAGATAAAGGTATCCTAACTTTTATAATTCTATGTAAGATAACATAGTGAGACAGCAAAACTTATCACAAACAATTCATTATCACTCGAACTTTTTTTAATTTAGATAATTGAAAACAGAAATATCGCGATATAAGAGAAACAATCGATTATAGCATTTAACCATATCTTAATTTTTTTAAAAGCTTTGTTTATTCACTAATTGCTGGTCACACAATGGCCATTTTTTATAACACATTAGATTTTCTTTTCAATCGGAAAATACAAAGAAAATATTCCAAGTCCGTATTTCGTTGAACGCAGAATCATCAACAACTTTTCCAATAAATACTTCGTTCCTATGAATATACTAACAGCCGAAAATTCTGTTGCAACAAAGTATTTCTTGATATGCGTATTGAATTATTCAGTCGAGAAGGAGAATGTAGCAAATTTTCATATTTACGTTTATGAGAAACGATAAACGGTACTCAGAGAACTTTTTGTAAATAACAAATTGGAAAGTGACGATTGAAAGTGTGAGCATCGTGGAGTTGTATATACAAATAGCTATTATTTCTCAATGACAAGTTTGTGTCATATAATTCAAATATATTTTTCATTATGAGAACAGTATCGTAAGATTGAGATTTATGGTAATCGAATTCGCATAAACTTGTAACGACACGCAGCAACACTCCGAAATTCTGATTAATGTTTTCGTAAATTCCAATTTAGATATAATTTTTCAACAAAAACTTGCCGGTAGAAAACTGTTATCGCTTGATAGATCGTAAATCAAGACAAACAATAAGACTTAATTTTTTGACATATTAGGTACGTCAAATCGCTCAAGCACGCCTTGTGTCCATGCACTTACCAATATGAAGACATATCCACAATTGATTTGTTTTTCTTGTTTCTTTGTTTTTTGCATAAGAATAATCGACTTGTGTTTTTTTTATGCATAACATATGCTTAAGTTAAAACAAAAAGAGGATACGTCGAGAAAGAGGTGATGAGACGAGACAAAAATGTACATCGAATACGGGTGAGTGTTTTTATTGATCATATATATTTGTAGAAAGACGTGATTCGTATTC